GTTCGAACGACGAGGATATCAAGCGACCGGGGGTGAGGATATCATAGGGAAGAGGAGGGGGGTGAGCCGACGGCGAGGGAAGTAGAGAGAGGCAAGAAGGAAAATACCCCTTCGAATCTGAGTGTAGATGAACGTAAAAAAATAGCTATTCAAGAAATAATTTTAAAAATAGTTTTTTTGGAACAAACTTGACCTACTGGTGTACTTGTATAAAAAGTTTTGTGAACGAAAAACTCCAGTCGACTTCAGGGCAAAAAAATTGCGAAGAAAAGGAGTGAATAGTAACTCTGATGTAGTGCTGATTTTGTTTTTTTCGCCCACAATACCATAAAAAATCATTCTTCTGCAAAAAAATTACGCGATTGTAAACACTTGATCATGATTGTTTCTAGAAAAAATCATGATTTTTTATCTTCTTTCGCAATTACTAAATTATTTCCAATTAGGATTCATCTACACCTAGGTCTCAAATGTGCCCGTCCGGGGCAAGGAAGAATAGGTTGAGAGGAGGTAGCTTCGAGCGATAGCACTAGATCGTGGATGCCACCACCCTACCATTGTTTTTTTTTTGCTTTTGTTGTTCTTTGCTCGGTAAAGTTTTTCAAATCTAAGAAGTTGTGAAATAACTTTATTATTTGAATAGAGTTCATCCACGTGCCTAGTTTTCATCTTCTAGGCCAGTTTTCGCCAAGGGTCATATTTTTATATTAGAACAAGACATTTTGCAGGGGGTGAACAAGAAATTAATATCCTGACATGTAACTCAGGCTGATCGTAATGGTAGTATCATAGGTAGTATCATGCATGCCAACTAGGCAAATGTTTTAAAGTATTAATGGGGGCAAGTCGTTGGTTGAGAGAGGTGCATTCCCTAGGTGAGCTTGTTTTTTTTAAAACACCGTATTAGTTCACACCTATAACTTATGAAAAAATAACAAAGAGAAAGGGACATACGTGTAGATAAAAGGTAGAGACTTTTTTGTGAATACAGAAAAGGCAGAGACTTGTCATTGTAACTTTTGGCAAAAGGTTATGACCATTTCCAAGCTGTGTAAAAATCACAAAATGACTTAGAGTAGAATACATACAATAGAGGCATGTTACCGCGAAAAAGCAATTATGTTCTTTTGCATGTTGATGACTTTGGCCATGTTGCCTTGCATGAAAGTAATATTATGGATGTATGCATTCTTAGATGCAGAGGCCCAGAGGTTTAACCTTCTATTTTGAAAAAAAAATCACACCCATGACTTATGAAAAAAAAGCAAAAGGAAAGGGATGTACATGTAAATAAAAGGTAGAGGCTTGTCATTGCAACTTTTGGCAACAAGTTATGACCATTTCCAAGCCGTGTAAAAATCACAAAATAACTTGCATTAGAATACACAACACAAGCACGTAATTTACTGCGGAAAAATCAATTCTGTTTTGTACACAGCTCAAATATTTATAGATGAATTTGTTCTTTGAAACTCAGTATAATTCACACCCATAACTTATAAAAAATCATTGAAAAGAATGGGTCATGGGCCATACGTGTAGGTAAAAGGTAGCGATTTGTTTTTATTTGCAAAAAACATAGAGACTTGTCATTGTAACTTTTGGCAACATGTTATGACCATTTCCAAGGCGTGTAAAAATCACAAAATGACTTGCGGCAGAATACATACAGATCAATTCTGATTTTTACACAGCCCATATATTTTTAAGCAAAGTTTACAAAAAGACATGTTGGTATCTTCACGTGACCTTTTCCTGTTTTGGGATATTTGGAAGTTGTGATTTCGTTTAAATTCCGAAAACAAGATCTTATGGACCCATGTTTAGATAAATATTTCCGCAAACTGGTCATCATATTTGTTCCTTCAGGAAAAATTGAAAATGACCGGGACAAATAGCTGTGGCGTAGATAAGCTGTAACTTAGCTGCGCTGGTAAAATATTGTCATTGAAAATTTCCATCTCTCCCAGTGCTCATCTGTTCTGAATAATTCACTAACTTGCCTTCCATCGTCAACTTTGGATCGCAAGTTATTCCTGAGTCTGATGTATGTTTCGTCACCAGGCAATCTCTCTGAAGAATTGAGTGGTAACTTGTTGAGAAGTTTTGAGTTCTCCACTAGGAATGAACGGTTGCCAATTGTTTGTGGGTGGTAACTTGTGGTGGACTCTCGTTGATGTGTTCCAGTTTTACGAAATGTAGACAATAGCTCCTCACCGCATATTAGCCTAGCGAGATAGTCTAGAAACCTGTACTAGTAGTAGGTCAAACCACAGGCGCTACTAGCAGTAGAACTTGATGCTACAGAGACCCTACCAAAGTCCGATATGGATTGCCCGAAAGCAACTCGGTCAAGACTACGTTACTGAGTTGCTTTCGTTTAGTTTTAGCAATTAGAGCAGTTGGTTTTAATTTTTTTTAGCAGCATATGTACGTAAAATGATAATTCTATCATTGTCAAAATCAAGGCTTCATTTGACCCGCAAAAAAGAAAAGAAAAAAGGCTTCATTTGTTTTTGCAGGATTTTGACTGGTGTGCCAATGCCATCCAGAGGGACTGAAGTAAGACAAAAGAACTGCAAAAAATACTATGAGCGTGTTTGGTTACATTGCCAATCTAGCCTGGTCTGGCGAGCTTGGTTCTAGTGAGCCGGCATTGTTCGGGAACTCGGTAACTGATAACTGCTCGGTCGACTACTGATTAGCGATTAATCGGTTAATTGGCCATTTAACTGAATTAATCGGTAGATCATTAATCGGCTACACATGAGAATATATTGGCAACATGTAACTAGTTTTTCACATATTGTACACCACATAATCCAATGCTCATAACTACGTATTATACATTTATACTAAAATATAATGTCGTAGCTCGTAGGTCTATAAAAAGCATGGACAAGAGGTAGAATTGTTACCTGGATGGTTTGATCATGATGCATCCAAACCGAAAGGCAACAAACCTACAAAATTGATGATAGATATGCATTTGTATATGCTCTAAACTTGTCATTGTCAAGATAAATGATTAAATGACGGCCATACATATGGCAACAAGAAGCCACACATGAGACATGACAAGATAAATTAAAATGACAGCCACACAACTTGGCAATGTGAAGCCACACATAACAAGATAAATAGCAGCCATACATGTGAACATGGAATAATTCACTACAAGGTTCAACACAAATAGCATCATAGATAATAAGGTTCACTGACCACAAATACTCAAATAGTTCTCACAACTCATAATGTCCTGGATTGCCGCTTCGGTTACCCCCCTTTTTTCATGGATGCCGCTTCAGTTACCTGACCCATCACCGATTAATCGGTTTGACAACCAGTTAATCGTCTGACAACCAATTAAATGCCAGTTAATCGGCTTGACCATTTAATGAAACGAGTACGTGCTACTCGCCTCAGTTAGGCACCGAGTAGCGATTAAATGGCCATTTAAATGGTAACTCGGCCGAGTTCTTGAATAGTGCAACCGGTTTGAGGGGATGCAGGCCAAAAAAACCAGATGCACATAGTTTGGTTGCCTGCATGCCTCTAGTTGCATGAAACAGCCATTTTTGACCTGACGTTTGGTTGCCAGCATAGCATTAGGCGCACATATGACATATTGTTTGGTTGCAACCTGCATAAGGTGTTGTCATCATTTCTAACTAGTGGTGAGCTTACCACACACAATATGAATATGTAGCGTCAGCTAGTTAAACAAATGACAGTTCATCCTAACTACTATCAAATGACAGTTCAAATTATTAAGAGCCATTGGCTAAATAGGGAATAGTTCATCGGTGTTGCTGCTATCAGATCTTCCTCTTCCTCTTCCTCTTCTTCTGCTTCTTCTGCTTCTTCTTCTTCCATCTTCTTCAAATCTTGCACTGACCTTTGTTAAGCCACGTTGCCTCTGCCCACTCCAACCTTTTGTTCTTCCAAGCGTCATTGTCAAATGCCTCCACTCCATGGCCGGAGCTAACAACATCGTTAGGCTCGACCTCTTCCTCCTCAGGCACGTGTTCATCAAAGCCCCACTAGAGGATCCAGTTATGCAGAATGCAACAAGCAAGAAC